TTGCTGAAGACATCATCTTATGCATGCAGAATGATTTACTAGCTTCATATCATGCTTTCAAAATAGCTATTTGTATAAAATTGCATCCTATAAGCATGGATGATTTATATGTCCTTTTATGCAGTGAGAACTAAATATAGTTACAACTCAGTCGTGACTTCCCACCCCTACTGCCGCTAAATCACCTTAGCACTTGGTGTTGTGCGTGTTGAGCTCATGGTCCGTGGTTTCCCTACTTGCAAACGCTCTCCTACTTTACATGAGATTCACTCTCCCACTTCCGGCTTTGGAGGTCGTTGCTCAACGTCTCCTTTCAATTCAGGTATGCTGTAAATTAGGACACTCTACCTCTCAAAGCTGACATCGAGCTGATTTAAACTTTTAGCCAAACTATCAGGTATATATTGCTTCAGACACTTCATCCAATGTTGATTGGTTCCTTGACACTGGAGCATCTTCACACCTTACATCTTCCACATCAACCCTTCAAACACCTGGCCTTACACAAGATTTGCTCAAGTCCAAATTAGTAATAATCAAATGATTCTCATAGCACACTCCGGCTCCAGTATTCTGACTACCCCATCCTGTAAGCTTCTACTCTGTAACATTCTTCATGTTCCTCAACTCTCGCATAATCTTCTTTCCATTCATAAATTAACTGTTCACAACCCTTGTTATGCCATTTTTTATACTCATGGTTTTACTAGTAAGGATTCCTTGACTCGCCGGAATCTCCTCCAAGGTCCCAGTCTTCACAGGCTCTACCCCATTAAACTGTCTACATCTCAGCAGTCTCTGCAATGTCCCTTCAAGCTCTTCGTACCACAACCCTCTACCTTAAATCTTTGGCATTAAGAGGCTTACAAACACCAAAGCTTACTCCACTTAATGGATTTTTTTCAGCTATTTTACCTTTCACAGTCATCTATCACTCTATCACATTTGTTTTCCGTATCCCATGCTACAAAAAATATCACCATTTACCATTTTTTCTTTATATGTAACCAAAAGTACTCACTGTTTAGAAATGATTCACACTATGTATAGGGGTCATCCCCAAATTTTGTTGTTTCAATCTTATAAATATTACCTACTATTTGTTGATGATTTTTCACGATATTGTTCGGTGTACTCTCTTCATTCCAAATATGAGATTAGTTCTATATATTTTTTTCATTTCAAATCTCTCATGGAAAAACAATTTCAATCATCTATTAAAATACTTTGTTCAGATGGTGGTGGTGAATACATAAACAACATTTTTCAATCCAAACAACAACAATGTGGTATAATGCATCAAACAACTTGTCCTTACTCTCCCTAACAAAAAGGGTTTGCCGAGCGTAAACATCATCACTTACTAGAACCAATTATAGCACTTCTTATTGATGCTTACTTACCTACTATTTTTTGGGTTGATACCCTTCTTACAGGTGCCTACCCTTCTTGACAAGCTTAAACTTAACCGAGCTCGTTCATTACCTGAACGCAACATGCCTAACCTCGGCTCAATTCGATTCATTTACAGCCATTCACATATTCTTATGAGAAATCTTGGTCCAGTTAGCTGTTTTTTAGGCATTCAAGTGCTTTCTAAAGCAGTGGGTCTCCACTTGAATCAAGCTAGGTACACTGCAGAATTGCTCAGTAAAGCTGGAATGAAAGATTGCAAATTCGTTCCTACTCCCTTACCAACCAAACTTCTGTCAATTACATGTACAACTGATTCTGAATTTTATTCTCAGCCTGACAATCACCAGACTTGCTATCCTGTTTGCAGTCAATTTTTTATGTTAACACATGCATACTCTGACTCTGATTAGGCTGTTGATAAATATGATGGATGCTCTATCATGGGTTATTATACTTACCTTGGCTCTACATTAGTCTCCTAGTGTGTTAAAAAGCAAATCATCATTGCTAGATTATAAATTTTATTTAAAAAAGTAAATGTATAACATAAATTAATAATAATTTATATTAAATTTATAAGTTTATATGTAAACTAATTTTTTTAATTATAAATTTATTCATTGTATAATAATTATTATATTATTTATTTTTTTATTTAAATAATTTTAATATATATTATGTCATTCGATCTAGCTGGTCGAACCATTGAATTTTGAATATTTTTTTGAATTTTGAAATTTTTTTTTTCCAGTTCGACATCCACAAGCTTGGTATAAATGTTATTTAATATTCATGTGTAATTTAAGGTGTCTTTTTTGTTGTTTGACAGGATAGACTTTAAATCAAGTTAAAATCCTACTTCCCCATAATGATATAGGGTCTTTGGAGTCCAATTTTTGAGAGAAAAATTCGGGGTTTATTTAAATACAAGTAAGATTTAGTAAATCTTATAAATTTAAATTTAATAAGTCCTAAGTACATTAAATCCTGAAAGTTATTTGGCAAGATATATGTTAAATCCTGCTAAATTGTTTGGCAATATAATTTAGGATTTAAGGTAATTATTTGAAATGTGATTTATGCACAAAAAATTACAATTACTACAAATAAATTTAATATCGAACTAAAAATTAATTTAAAATCAAAAGTTTTCACATAAAGGCATATTTGTATTGATTTAATTTCACCATCCATATCAATAATTAAAATTTATTAATTTATAAATAACACAAGTAAACAACACTCAATCTTTTAAATCATAATTAAGCCCTCAATAATTATTATAATTTTGTATTAATATTATAAAATAGATTTATTAGTTTTTAATTATAAAATGTATTTATTGTAAACAATTGTTGCTACTTTTTTTTAAGGAAATTCCATTAAAATAAAAAAAGTACAGTAATGACCCAAAGCAAAGAGGTCATAGTAAGAAACTGACAAAAAACAGTCTAAATAACACACAAACTAAAAAATCCAAAAAGAGAAAGAGAAGAGCAAGAGCGGACTCAGGCCGCCACCTGGTTGCCAGACTTGGGCCATCCAATAGTGGACTTCAGCTTTTTTACTTATTTGAAATGTGATTTATGCATCCAAGCCCAGGCCATCCTAGGGGCCTCATCATAGTCCTCCACTAGCCAAGCCAAGCCAAGCCAAACCGAAAGCAAAACCAAGAAAAACATCATTTCTTATTGGACTTCAGCTTTTTTACTTTTTCCACTCTTTTTACTAAAACTCTCTTCATCAATTTGAATGATACTCGAGTCGTAATTTTCTTGAGAATCCAAATCCTCCCCATAGAAACTTCCATCATCATCTGAGTTGTTATCAAGTAGCTGCTCACCATGCAACACCACACTATCCCTAGAAAGGTGATATTGCAAAATCTCTCCCTAGACACAAAGAGTTATTGGCATAGTAAAAACGGGTCTCCATACTTTTAGGACAAGGCGCTGTCACGCGCTTAAGAACAGGTGGCCAAGTAACCCAAAATGCTGGGGAACCACCATAATCCTCTCTCATTTGATAGGCCATCCCACAACCTCGTTACATCACATTGAAACCACAGCCATCTGTGCCAACGTAAGCATCAGGCAAATCGGACATGCCGAAAGGAACGAACAACATCGCCAGAGACGTGTCACAGGCCATTGGCCTAAGTGACTCAGATCAATTGGGCTCAACCAACACCAATTAAGGTGGTCATTACTTTTATTGACAGAACAGAACACTGATCCGTAAGGACCGACCCGAAAAAAATCCGGGGTTCGGGTAAGCCCAAAACCCGAATCGGGTCCCCGGGTTCGGTTTGTAAGGAAATCAACCCGTTTTAAAAAATCGGGTCAGGTTCAGGTTGACAGCGGAAATACCACAGAAATTGACCGAAAGTGACACGAAAACTGCATATTTGTACCTGAAAATGTCCGACGCTTTGCTCCATTTGTTTGTACCCGATTTTGACCCGAAAGAAGCGAAGATTGACCCCGATTTTTTAAGACGCTTGGATGACCTCCAACAATTAGCATTTTGGGGTCAAATTCCGTGTCAGTCTTCGTTGTGCGGGTCGGGTTGACACGCGGATCCGAATCGGGTCGGGTTCGGGTCGGAACCTAACCCATTTTTTAAATCGCTGAGCGCGCCACCGATGTGATGACGAGGTTCGGGTTGACCCGAACAGTGCGGGTCCAGTTCCGGGTTTCGAACCCATTGACCCCGAATTGATGCAACCTGCCTAACCACAAATCCTCCTCTGAAAACAAGACTGGAGCCGAATTCACAATGACACATAGTAATCGATGGTAAAAGCATTAAGGACTACACTTCAAGAAAGCACACCGCTCCCCGGCAAATATCAGCATTATCTGCAACTTTATCTCCGCTCACATGACCAACCGCGCCACTCCAAAGCTGATGGGGCGAAAAAGCCCCCCGAGATCTGAGTGTCAAGGCTTTCCTCAATGCGGCGCCTGAACGAACCTGCTTGTCCGGCACCAGCAGAAGTACGTCATCGGCGGCAAGAAGAAGAATAAAACGAAGTATAGGAACATGGTATAAACGAGACGACTCGAACACCATTTGCCCGGCGATCGACAGAAGGAGAAGGACTGCAGCAATAATAGTACAAAGAAGGAATAAGAGTAGAAGCCCTGCAGCCCTTAACATTCAGTTTTTATTTCTTTTAAAACTGATGCAGAGAAAATAAATTTTTAAAATTGTGTAAAAAAGTAGTTTTTTAGTATAGATTACTTAAAAAAAAAAAAATTGGGTCTTTGCCAGGTATAATATCAAAAAAAAAAAAAGAAAGCTTTAAGACGCGGGATTTACCTCGGCCGTGATTTAACTCAACTCCCAGCGCACTAACTAACACCGCAGGGCGAGCAACAGTGGACGGACAAAACGCCGTTTGGCCCTTGAGCTGATTTAGCGTAAATCCGACTTAAATCCCGCCCCGTAAATCCGATACTCGAACGGCTCCTAAAGTTTACTCTCGCGAGAAAAGGTAAACTGCTGCAGAGCGCTAGGGCTAGCTCTCCTTTACAACCTAAGCCATCAACAAGCAAAAGATAGGCGCGAACCCCGCAGCCATGGCGAACCCTTGCAATGCAGAAGAGGCAGGTTGAAGTGGAGTGGAGACTTGAGCTTTTTGAGGAATCTAGTCTGGACCCCGCGATTGCTCCGAAAGCTCATCTCAAAGAAAAAGCATCACAAAAGCCCACCCCATCCAAGGCGGAGGCCGATCCCTTTTGATTCTAGTTAGTCTTTTCTATCTCTCTCCAGAATATAACATATAATTTGTTGCTATTTTTTTATTGTTCGCTCTTCATTGGATTCTGTGGAGAAAAAACCATCAAAATAGAGGGCAAAGATGTTGTTGCAGGGCAAAGACTGCTCGGGTAAGGACATTTGGCCTATCTTCTTGCGCACTGTCTTCAGAAGCTTTTTTCGAGAGTAGTTGGACCAAGAAAAGTCCGGGTCCTAGCGCATTGATACTGTTCTGCCTCACGGTGAGCTCTGTGGCCAGTGTTTGCACTGTCTTTCTTGATGGGCTTCAAGATTTTAAACGCTTTCGCTTATGATGGGATAATGGCTTAATTCCTTCTTTAGGTTCACAGCCGAAGCCCTTTCTTCTCCTCGACGCATGCAGGGTCCAGTTGCAATGGGGGTTGTGCAATCTCTTGAGCGAACATGATCAGTAGTGGACATGGCAGTTGTCCTATATTTTATTAGCAACTAGTGAATTGATATTGATATTCGTGTGGAATTATTAGGAATTGGGATGCTATTTGCATCTTTTGTGTAATTTGATTGTGCATTGGCATCATCAGATGTTGCACTATCGATGGACCTTCCAGAGTTCAATCGTATCAACTCCAGCATGTCATCTCAACCTTGCCTTGTTCTAAGGGAATTTATTGCAGGTTTCATGAGCATTAGGATTCACTTTACATGTTAATTTTGGATGAGGTATGCTATCCTTCCTGATTTGCTTCTTTATGCTATGTTTTGTAAAATGCATATCATGTTCATTGTCCTTTTTATCCATAAAATTAACGTATGTTGTTGCCAAGTTTGAAGCCCTACGTTAGTTATAACGTCTATAGGCAAGTCATGAGGTTGAAGTTGCCCTTTTTTATATGCAAATTCAAAGTTTTTCATTTGGTTATTAATTTTCAAAATACATTTTCTCCTTGTCATTGTTGTTTTATAGGCATATATGAGCACTTTTAATCTTATATTACCGCTAGTTCGATATAAATCGCCGAGAAGATTTTATAGCTTTTGTTTTTCTTACTACCGTCACTGTCTCGTTCTTTTTTGCTTACTTTTCTTCGCTTTATATTTAAGAAGGCATGGGTTCAAAACTTATAAACTATGTCTAATAATATTATAATTTCTAAAATTCTCAGAACATATCTTCTTTTTTATAAATAGGGCTTTTTCCGCACTTTCTGAATGCTACGCAATAAAAATCTCGCTTTCCTTGAAGGCAATTTATAATCAAGCTGCTCCTCTTAACTCAAGTAGCCATTTTATCCCACATAAAGTTTGATTCAACTTTTAGTTATTTTTTTTCTTTTATCATTGCTAATCATTGTAATTTTAAATCCCATTGTCTTATCGTTTGGCCTTAAGACTTCAACCATTTTTTTCCTTTTATATCATTCTTGTTCATCTATAATTGCCATTTAGTGTTGTTTGTTTAAGCTTTCTCCTTTTAAGCTTAGGATTTTTACAATAGGATTTTCTTTCTTTCTTAGTAGATAGTCATTTATATATGGTTGAGTAGATATATTTTTATGAGTAATTTCATTATCTATTTATTTATTGAATAACACAATCACTATTGCTAGATCATATACGAATGTAGAATCAATAATAACTTTTATAATTATATTTCTATATCTTATCACATACTTATCAGTGTATGATTCCATAACTTGTCCTATTGGCACCTAAATAATGCATCACAAATAATTATCCTGTTCTCCTTGGGTTGTTAACTTGTTATAATAGTCCATCCATCTCTTCTCAAAATTTATATTTCAAACTTCTGAATTTGCATCAATACTAAATGAACTTAGTCTCCTCCATACGATTAACATTATAACATGTTATTAACTTTTCTTTTACTTTGGTATAAGCATTGAAATTAGTTGTAAGCATTGAAATTTAAGTTGATATACTTATGGTAACTTAACTAAACACACGTGACACTTACCAAACATGAATTCTTCTCTTTTTTGATGATATATGATTTCAATTGTAAGCCTATTTTTTGGCCAATCAATAACACTTCTGAATATATATCCCATGTGTTTTACTTTATTATATTTTGTATATGTATTGATTCTCTATTGAAATATACAGGCAGCCCTTCTTTTGGTCACATGGGAATTATGAGATGACTTGGAAGAATCTTGTCCCTCATGTCCCAAAGGCTATGCAATGTCTTCCTGATGTCTGCCACATCAAGGTTTGGCTTTTTGTTAAATATATTGCTAGCAACACATTACATGTTCTATTTAACATCTTATGTCGATTATTGTTTTTGCATTACCTTATTAGTTCTATATCTTAAAGGTAAATAACCAATGCTGGTACTATATATGTAAACAACTTTCAGTAGATGGAAATATGCTTCTTTGTTGTTTTTATCAATATATCTTTTCATTTGTGGCCAATATTTTATATGTAAGTTGATTCTTTAATATCATATGCATCTAGGGAGGGTTTTTGCATTTCGAGTATCCTCATACAAAACCAACAAACAACAACATCCAATAGCCTTTATGTCCCACTACGTGGGGGCGCTACATGAATCCTTTTTTCTCCATTGTGATCCTAATTAAAAAGTCAGATTCATCGTTTTAAGAATCTAATAAAGAAATGTCATTCTTAATATTTTGCAACCAAGTCTTTTTAGGTCTACCCCTACCTTTCTTAACATAAGTCAAATCTAATACCATCTACTCTCTTAACGCGGTGTCATCGGAGGCCGGCGTTTTTAATGTGGACCCGGCAAAACCATCTAAGCGACTCTCTCTAATCTATTTCTACTGGAGCTACTCCAACCTTTTCACGATATGCTCATTTTGTATCCTATCTCTAAGGGTTAAAAGCACTCATCCACCTGAGCATACCTCATCTTTGCCACACTAAACTTAAGTAATTATGCTTCTCTTTTAATGGCCAACCATTTGGTCACCATAAAGCATTGTAGGCCTCACTACCCTTATAGCATTTTCCCTTAAGGTTTGAGGAATACATTTCATAATCACAAACAAGCCCGATGCATTCCTCCACTTCACATCCAAACTTGAATTCTGCTGATAATATCACCATCTATTTCCACCAATCAATCTGAACAAATAGATTCCAGATATATAAAACGTGTACTCTTAATTAATGACTTGATCGCCCAAAGGTCACAATTGCCCCTCACTAAAGGTTTATTACTATGCTAAAATACACCCATATAATTCCGTTTTAGATCTACTCAGCGAAACCTTTAAGACTCTAAGGTTGACCTCCATAATTCAGTTTACCTTCAAACGCCCTCTCTAGTCATTATCAACAAGAAGAATATCCATCCAGTCTAAAAAGAATAACCCAAGTCAATCCTCTTGCAAATGTCTAGTGAGAACATCCATGACTAAAGCAAAAAAGATATGGGCCTTAAGGCTGATCCTTGCAATTAACCAACCGAAATAGGAGAAATACTTGGTCAATCACCTTGGTGTTTGAACACAAGTAATAGCTCCATGCATAGCATATCTTTAAAGATTTTGAATTAAGCATTATTGACTCCTTTCTTTTCAGAACTCTCCATAGCACTTCTCTTGGAACTTTATGTCATATGCTTTTTCTAAATCATAAATATATATGCAGATCCTCCTTATTTTCTCTATAATTTCACCAATCAAACTCTTAAATAAATGTATGGCTTCCATAGTCGCCTACCCGGCATGAAATCCAAATTGTATGAGAAACATTAGTATCATGCATGAAGGCGCCGCAACCTATGCTCCATAATCGTCCCAAAGTTTTAAAAAGTATGACACATTAAACTTAATACCTCTATAGTTCGCACAAATCTTGGGCATCACCTTTATTCTTTAAAAATAGGAATTAACACACATATTTTCCACTCATCTGGCATTCTTTTAGTCTTCAAAAATAGTATAAAAAGTTTAAGTAAGCCATGAAATCCTTCATCTCCTAAGCATTTCCACACCTTGCTATTGGAAATCATTAGTCCACAGCTTTTCCAACCTTCATTTTCTTTAAAGCCTCTCTAACTTCAGTTTACTAATACGCCATAAAAACAGAAATCTTTATTTTCATTTAGGGTGTAAGGTCATTATAGGTCAATCTTATATTCACCATTTCTTCATTAAAAAGTTTTAGCAAAAAAATACTCAAAATGCCATCTTTGTTGAATATCATCTTCTAATAAAAGTATTTTTTATCTTCATCTTAAACACTTTCATTGAACTAAATCCTTACTACTCCTATCTCTTTTTTGACTAACTATAGCATATATCTTTCTCACTCTTAGTATCTAATCGTATTATTATAAATCACTAAAGCTAATTCTTTGCATCGCATAATTGCCTTTCTTAGCATCCTTACGAGCCACTTTAATATTTCCCAATTATCAGATTGTTAAAATTAAACCAATTTTTATAACAAAGCTTCTTATTTTTAATCTTTCTTGTACATTTGGATTCCACCACCAAACTACTTTACTAATTATGAGCTTTTCCCTTTGGATACTCCAAGATATCTTTTTGCCAAATATTCTTAATATCAGTAGCCACTTTTTTCCCACATAATATTAGACATCATCATGCACAGACAAAATCTTAAGGATCTATTCCAAAATATTTTTGTTATATTTCTTTAAATGCCCTCATCTAATCTAGAAAATTGTTTATACTTTATTTTTATTATTGCCCCTTTATCCTTAAAGTCCAAAACTAATAATCGATGTTGGGTAACATAAATTTTCACTCGGAATAACTTTACAATCTTTGCCAAATCTAAACGATTTAGTTTTCTAATAAGAAATAGCAAATCTGTGTTTTACATATCCATTTTATAATGATGAGAAGCTCATTTCTTTTCTTAATAAGTATTAACAATTGAAAAAATCATAAGCTAAACAAAAAGTCCAATATGGTCGCTTGCCACCTTCATCGTCGTCCAAAATCTTATGACCACCATGGAATGGCTTTTAATAAATTCAATCACCTTCTCTACCAACATGTCCATTTAAATCTCCTCCAATCAAAACTCTTTCTTCAAGAGGTATCTTTTGTATTAATTCTTCTAAGTCATTCCAAAAATTTAATTTTTAGTTAAAAAAAAGAAGTCATTTTTGTCCCCCCTTTTTTTTTTTTGAAAAAGTACATTTGCTTTGAAGTTTCATGTGCAACCTCCATATGTTTTCATGTCGTTTACAAATAAGGATTAATTGGAAACTAATTACTTCATTTTAAGGCGTATACTTATGTCCCTAACATCTCTTCATCTTTCTCCATCTTCCTTGCATCATCTCCAAAGTCAACACTACCTTTCCAACCACTGAAAAATGATCACATTGGTTGATGCTATGCAGGGATGGAGAAGCGGATCTATCAGTGGGGCCCTGGGGCACGGGCCCCACTGGTTACCCAACGAAGTATAATCAGCCCATTTTAAAGTATATTAATATAATAATTAATATATAACGATATTTGGATAAATTTCTAAAACTAATCCCTCCTCTGCTCGCTCCGCCTCCGCCTCTTTTCAATTTTTTCACATGACTTTGATATTGGTTGAAATTTCTGTGGTCTCTCCCTTTCTTATTTCCCCCTCTTTTGCTTGCTCTCTGTCTCTCTCTTCTACTTTTATCTGCCCAAGGTGCAAGGTT